TCTTAATCGCGTAATTGCTTATTAACCTCCCGGCGTCGGCAGTCTCGTCGTTCGGTCCGCGGCGTTAACAACACAAGCGGAATTAAAACGCATATTTTCCACCATTAATTCTGTTTCTGTACACATTCAATACGTACACGACACGTAATAATTATAATAATAATACAAACGCGGTATTCTTAATGGATCATGGGAGCTCGTGTATGACATAACGATAATTGATCACACACATACTCATATTATATACGTTGCAGTTCGTTCCAGAAATTGATTAACCGGTCTCTCCGGTCTCCGTCCTCCCTTCTCTCTCTCTCACTCTCTCTCACACACACACACACTCACTCTCCGCCGATCTTTTTTTCTCCATCGTTTTTCCCGTGTGTCTCGCATTATATTATTCTTCTCGGGGGCTTTGTCCGGTGGCCCGCGTTCGCCCGTCTGTTTGTTCTCCTCGTGCACTGGTGTGCTTCTGCTGCCGTGGCGGCGATCCTGACAAACCGGTTTTCGGCGCGCACTCTTTATATTATTATTATTATTATTACTATACCAGCCACCGCCGCCGCCGCCGCCGCCGCCGCCTCGGATTCCTCGGATTCACCGTCGTCTCGGTGTATCGGTGTCTCTCGGTCTCGGACGGTCGTCGTCGTTGCTCGTGAGCGCGCGCGCGCTCGTTCGCTCTCCGACCAATTTACGCATTGTTTTTCATTATTATTATTATTTTTCTCTCCGGTCCGAAAAAAGATAGCGCGAATCGCGTCGCTCGATCGTCTGCGGCTGTCGCGAGTCGGGTCGGCCGCCACCGCAAATAAAAGTATATTCTTTTTATTTTTCAATTTTAATTACCACCATTGGGAATATTATAATATATTATTATGTAATATGTACGGCGACGAGGCACTTATTATTACTATTATTATATACGGACACGCCAATCGTCCATCTGCCTCGGTGCAGTGTGCGCCGTCGCCGTCTGCGGGTCGACTTATCATCTATCTATCGTTTTATATATGGCCAAGTGGTAGGGTGGTACGCATAAAATATTGGCGTTCGAGTCGTAGGCGTATTGTGTTGTGTGCAGCGAGTGTGAGCGAGAGTATGCTAGCTATCGAGAGAGCGAGTAGGTATATAGTTTTCTTCTCCCGAGACTATTACTACTTAGCGGTGCGATGTACACCAGATTGTGCGTGTGTGCCCATATACATACGCGACGGATTTCTTCGAGCTATTATTATTGTTATTTTTTCTTTTCCAATTCTAATTTGGAGGACGACGGGAAACGCTGAACGGCGCACGCGCGTGTGTACGTGTGTGTCCCGTGCGAGTCCGAGATAAAAACCACCACCGGTCGGTCACTTACAATCCAATTCCATACACAATAATACGCACTATTATACGCATGTAAACGTTTCACACGTTTAATGGTTGATACTGATCGTCATCTTTTAACTGTGACTCTTAGGCTCTTATTTCTTATGAATTCGGTTTTAAACGATAAAATAACGATGTACCTATTATGTTTTATCGTTTTACGATTGTAAATAGTAGTACATTTAAATTCACAGTACAATAATATTATATTTTTCACGTTCGAAACGCGTATCCAAGTTAATTATGGTTAAACATTGGAAATAATTTGTGGTTTACACGAATTGTAAAACTTTTGTATATGTTTCTCGTCAAATTGCAAGTCGATATTTCAGCGTGTAGGTGCAAAAAAAAATTATAATAATACATTCCTAAAATTTTAAACCATTAATTGTTCTCTCATTTAAAAATTATAAAATCATTTTTTATACAGACGTAACGTGAAAAAATTTATTGTATTTGATATTTACAATAGATCCCACACAAATAATACCCATCAAGGCCGTGTCGGAATACTTCAAAACAAATTTCACTTATAATATTATATTATTATATTTTTATGATACATTATACGTTTATACGGCATCTATTCGTGTTCGTAAAATTTCGTATAACTACCGCAATTTAAATGGAAATATACGTTTGGATTTACGATCAATATAATAATATATCTATATCAGATTATTATATTATCCTACTGAAAGTATAATATTTTAGAAACATAAAAACCTGATTAATTTTATTCTCCGCCCGATTTAATAAAATAATATCTTACGTTGTTTAATATTTGTTCGTATACCATATATATTTGTTTGATATGATATTAAATTATATGCATTCGGTCAGTATTTTAATAAAATAACATTTTATTTATCACGGTCTTGGAGTAGGTATTCACTCATGTAATAATAATCGCGTTTGGTCTTTTTAAGTTTTGATTCATCGAAATACGAAACAGCATTAAAGATAATATAACAATATAGACGACAAGTGTTTTGGATTTTGTTTCATATAAACCGAATAATGAAGATTAAAAAATGTCGATGTGATTTTTTTTCTTCGACGTCAGTAGTATTATACTATTATGTAGGTTTAGCACGATTTTGGATATTGCGCATTTATTACCAATGTTAATGCTAAAATCTAACCATTGTGTGCGGTGTTTAGTACTTTTAATTCGGTAGATAAAATCGCAGCAAGGGGAGGAATTATTTCATTTTATGTTGTTTTTTTTTCGAATTTATCCAACGTACGCACCCTTTAAAACGTCACGTTTGAATCGATATCGACGCGCATCACTTGCTACTGCCGCAGCAGCAGCCGTCACGCCGTCAATCGCAACTGCGAGACACAAAAAGAAGAATCGTGTCCGTACAGTATTATTATTATATATACACCTAACCCCCACACTTCTTTATGCACTAACCTGGACCACAGGATGGGACGTAGTCCCCATAATAATAATATGAAAAAAAATCCGTGAAACCACCACCGTAAAAAAAAAAACCAAAAGAACCAAATCGCCAGAACGACGAAATCCCATCAAACCCGCGTAATGGTATTTTCAAACGGAGCGTTATTAACGCGAAGGATATTGTATTATTATTATTATTATTATTATTATACAATCGATGGAAACATATTTTTCGCCTGGCCGAACGCGTTCATTTTATATCATATATCTGATCGACGTGAGTGCGCCTGCACATATCGGTAGGTATAGGTTTGTAGATAGGTCGCGTTTTGATCAGTATATAAGCATTAATACATACGTCTTATTATTATTATTATTTATTATTTTACGCACTAGAAAATAATTGTTAATTATTTATACGTATAAAATGTATAGAAGAAGAGAAGGTGTACGCAGCGACGACGCGTGTATATGTGTAAGTACGAGAGCGTGTAAAAAAGATTGTCGTCTACCGATAAAAAAAAAAAAATAATAATAATAAAAAAAAAAAAACCGAAGCATTTGTCAAGTACTCCGGTGAACTCGGTTGACCCCGCTCCACCGCCGTGCTCTTCCATACTAAGACCCATAAATCACGGACGCCATTCCGCCCGCGCGACCGTTCCAGTTTAATGAGTTTGTTATTATTTTAGTCGCATTGTATATTATATCGTTGCGCGTGTGCCTTATAAACGGATAAGTCGAACACCACCGGTCAGCAGTTCGCGTGTGTTTACGATAAATCTGAGAGAGATTTAACCCTATTCCTCTTCATCATGGTTAGGTTTTCCGGAATTGTGGGAGGGAGAAACGAATACAAAAAGTACGGTAATTTTTTTTTTTTTTTTATTGCTATTCTTTATCATCTATTAAAATGGACCAAGAGACAAGAGTGCAATTTAAAATATGCATAAACAGCATAAATATGTGTTTATATCTTTATAGACCGCTGACAATTTAAACATGTCATTATCTTAATTGTGTATTATAATATGATAGACGATGGTCAATTGCATCTAATATAGCATTGTTGACAAACCGTATCGTAGAAGATAATTTTAAGTCTTTTCTGGTAGGTCTATAAGCATTTTCAACATTTGCTGCTGAGTGCTAAGTCAAAATAAAGTTAGAAAAAAGTACCTAGTGGTCTTTGTTAATTTAGTAGAAGGGTGAGTGGTTTAATGAGACTTGCTCCGTAAGTCTTAAAACTTAGGCCGCTACTGTGATGAATATATCCATGTGATATAATCCTTCGTCGATAATATTCTTTGTCCGTGGTTGACTTTAATATGTAAAATCCACTTAGTTCCTCTGACGGGATTTTAATAAAAAACTTGTGAATAATAATTGGCTACAGAAGATTGGGATTCGACGCGAAGATATACCTTTGCACGGGCACTTAGTACTTATATTTTATGGGAAATATAAATTTATTATAATTTATACCTATAACCTACCTATCTAATATACCTAATAATAATAGCTGGTATATAATGATAATAATGGTTGGGCGCGGGTGACGACGATGAGACAATCAGTCTTACAGTGTACCGTGCATAAACGACGGCTTTTATTGGACAATCGTCTGTTATGCGTTGAATATAAAAAGTACAAAAACGTCAACATCGGCAGCTTGGAAGGACATTAATTGGAAACCGGACGGACAGTTTTGCGCGAGTAACAACGACGGCGGCGATAGATGCCGAAGATAACGTCGGCGGAACAATTGTGGGGACGGAGTAAAAAAAAAAATTATAATATAATAACAATAATAAACGGGATCTTTCGATGGCGACTTTAGAGGTCATTATCAAACGCGCCACACTACACACGCATATTATATTATCTCGCGATACTATAGGTAATATTATTATTATTGCACGTTATATACGATGCTTGCAGTCCAGAGCAATAATAATAATAATAATGCTCAGCCCTACCGTTGTTGCACTTGTCAGCTATGTGCATGTGCTGCAATGCGTAATATTATTCTATTTATTATTATAATATTATAATGATATTGTTGTGTAAATTTGCTGTAACGATCACTTTTGTCAATAATTGTAGGTATATATAATTGTCGCATGGTACAATGGTGTTATTTTTTACACGGTCCCTATGTGTATGCAACTTAAATAGAGGTACTCATGTGTATTATATTCGTTTGTTTGTGTATCCGCAGGAAAGAAAAACATTCAGCGATGAGGAGAAGGTAGCCGTCGCCACTAACCATCGTCGTCGCCACTGCCGTCATGCACAAGTATCACCAACAGCACTACGACGACAACAACCACCACTATCGCCACTGCCACAACTACCTCTATAATCACCACCGATGCTGTCTCGCCGCGGTGTTTCTACTGCTAACCGTCGCAATCATCAGCCCCGGACGAGCTGAACATGGTAAGCATACCACCACTCGCATTGTATATATACTTATAAGTTATAAGCACACTAATAGCGTATAATATTGCCCAAATGACGGCATTGTATTATTATAATACGTATTATATTATTATATTGTATCGTTTCTCGCTGTTCACTTTACTACAATACTAATATCAACCGTTATTATTGTTTTGAATCGGAAATGGCCGACATATGGCATAGGTACTCGAAAACCCACTCGACTATATCTCGTAATGCGTACAATATTTTAAATAATATATATTATAGGTAGGCAATAGTATCGTGTTTCTATTACACACACCCGCCCACCAATAGTATTCCTCTCTGTCGCGTGTGTTCTCTAGTCAAGTCTTCCCGCAGCAGAAGCATCAATGGTAAAACCTTATTGAAATATAGTAGTATAGTACCTACCCATCTACATCTGATTAATATATTATTATATTTTTAAAGTGATGAATTATCGTGTTTTCGCCACAATACATTACAGATACCTATATATGATATTACCTCAAAGATATAATCGTTGTTTCCAAATATTCATAGTGTATGTGTTTTAATTTATATGTTATTACCAGCCCGATTTCTAGCCACTCCACATCAGTACATCACTCCTACTCCCGTGCGTGTACGACGTTCTTTTGTTTTGCTAGCGATTTACAAATATTAGTTTAATACTTGTCGACTTGGGAAAGTATGCGTGGAAATATACTCACCAGTTCCCATAAAAAAATAAATACGTATCCGGTCGTTAAAATGTCACGTGTCTCACGTAAAAACACGTCTCCGACGGTACACTCATAAATTACTACATCATAGTGTGTTTGTGTATATATAATATATGCCGCGTGTACTTTATGGGCGACTTTTTTTTTTCTGTTGAATCTTAAAATCAAAATCGATTGCAGTCACGTTTAAATGTTGTTTTACACGTAATCTGTTTTAGATTTACTACACCGAATAATATTAATAGAATACTTGTCATGTTAACGTTATTTATCAACGTTTATATACCCCTAATTAATGTAATGTTATAACTTTTAAATGTTTAGTCTTGCATTTAATGTTTAAATAAAATCTATCAACGTCATATTAAAATATTATGACATTTTGTCATTTAAACAATATATATAACTATAAAAGGTAAAATATTTTCTGAACTTTAATTTTCAAAATAATTTAAATTGTTTAAATTAATTTATACCTTACTCAATGTTATAAGATATAGCTGCTTATAATTCTATTTTTGAATTCGGTTGTGTTGATGGATCGTCAAATTATCTGATGTGTCCTTTTTTTAATAATACTTTTTAATAATTTAGACTAGTTTTGTCTAGTGTGTATAATTTTATGTTAGTGAATTATCTAGTATAATATATTTGACTTATAATAATTTATATATATATAGGGTTTAACTATTGTTATAATGTTTTCCTTTTTTTTTTTTTTTTTTTGAAACATTCAAATAATATTTAGTCCCTCTACGAATTTACGTTTATATTTCAAAGAGTTTACAAAAAATATTTTTATTTTATAAGTTTCCTATTCGCATATTTTCTCCACTTACCATAGCTCTCAAATTTACTCAATTTTGTTGTATTGCTCGGTATACTGCACTATCTAATTCAATCCTCATTCGTAACAAAATATGGTAGAAGAAAAGCTACGTCAAAGCCGTGTGTAAATACGCCACCTGAGCACATAATATTATATTATAGGTACTTAATAAATGTCTAAATGTTTTCATCATCGATATTTTTATGTTATGAATATTATAATTACATTTTAATATTGCTTGTTTTAAAGCGTTTTATTGCATTTACTACGGGTTGTGTTAAATTATAATAATTCCATATTATTTTCCTAAAAAACAGTTATAACATTATTTACTTTCACGAAACTTTATATTTTAATAACTTTTAATAACAACGTTGACACGCGAGATTTAATTGCGTCTGCGTAGAACATTTTTTTTTAAGTGTATTCCAGACATCTTTCGGTATACGACTTTCACTGTAGAGCTATTTCAAGAGTGGCCCATCATACACGTCATCGGTTTGTCTGACGTGAAAGATATTTTTTTTTGTCAGTTGCTGCAAATAATAAAGTCTTTTTCTAAAACGTTGATTTTTTCTTTTTTTTCACACACATGTAAAAATTAATATAATTAAACAACGACACGCTGCATGCGTTCTCGAAATTGAAAATTATTTTTATATACATATAACTATGCGCGGCGACAACGCGAATAAGAGATCAAAGCATTTATATTAATTCAATATATTATTCCATTTAAACTAGTAACCGTTACTATATTTTTATACCCTATGCATTTACACATATAGTTGGTACTTAAGCTACTATACAACTATTGAACTATACCGCTATTACTTATATACGTACGCGCATTATTATTGTATTTTTAAAACACACACAAACAAACAAACGCGCGTATTAATCTTTCATTTTCTATGCACACAACAACGACAGCGCACGGGCGACGGCCAATCAACGCAGTAGGAACGAATTTCGTGCGCGCATTCTTAAATCAACATGCCCGGAGACTCCCTGGGGCCTTTTCCCGCACGACCGTCCGCTACCCCGCCGCCACCTTCTGGTTTTCGTGTACCGCCACCGCCGGAGCGGTCCGTAAACGCGCGTGACGTTCTCGATATTATTATTATATTATTCTCTCTCAGAGTCTCGGGGTTCGTATCATTTTATGAGGCCGTTTAAAAACAAAACAAAACTACCTATGTAAATAACGTATAAGGTATACACACGAGGTAATTTAACATATTTCTTCACTATACCTATATAATATACTCGTATATATTACGTATATAATATACAGCATTTCTTATTTATAGATATACACATACTACTCATAACAAACGAGTGAAACCAACACCATTATTATCTATATGTATATACTGGACTCTTCTCTATGTATATATTATATTGTATAAATAAACTTATACCTTCACTGGTCAAAACCGTCAAACTCGTACTAATATATTATATCACATATGTATCTATTGATATATATATATATTTGTACAGGCACCCTCCCGCGAAGACTTAACCTCAGTGACTATATATATTGTATGTATGAATATATGTAATATCTATACTATATTTGGTGTGACGGGGTCGTCTGTATAATATATATATATATATATATATATATATAACGTATGTATACTGTGTATAGCTTGCGAGCAATAACATTTACAACGTCCATTACGCTTTGATGGGCGAAACCACGAGACGCTTCTAATGTGTCCATCATTCTTCTTGCTGCTGTGTCCATGGAGGCTTTCCGGAGGACTAAAAAAAAAGTCGCCAACATTGCTGTACACGGGCAAATGGGTCGTAAATGAGATATATTAAACGTAATCGGTATCTTGAAACACTACGCGAACTATCAGCTTTATATATATATTGCAATTTTGTCCCAGAGCTATAATGTATATAAGTATACGTAAAAGGGATGGGGGAGGAGTGATTTCAAAAATGTCGCAGAGAAAAATATGTCCCTCCGATCCGTACAAAATCGTGGTAACAGCTTTTTAAACCGTTACGGCTATCATCCATAACACTAAATGCGTTCAATAAACGTTTTTCTACTTTTGTTTCTGTTACCGCTTTGTATATATATTATATTTTTTGTATTTTTTCGGTTTTTTATAAGCACTCACGAATACGGATTTTCAAAAATCGCTTAGAAATGAAACAAATACATATTTTTTGTTCCCATATTATTTGTTTGTCAAATAAATCATTTAAAGCGTCCATTACTATAGAACTTTTAAAACTTAAAGCTTGGCTTAACTCGTACATATACATACTTACAAGCAACATATATACACACTAGTGTCCAGCCAATAGTTTTATTTTTTTTGTAGAATCCATCATACGCGTGATGTGTGAATACAAACACGACGCAGCCGTCTTCTTGGAAAACCATAATAAATTCTAAAATAATTTAACATGCGTACAAATTACACTCAACAAACTATTTGTCTAAAACAAATAATAATTAAAAAATACTAAATGAACTAGACGTGTATTAAATAATGTTCACCGCGCGTGTCCTAGGGAAAACTTGACGTTGACGCATTTTTTATTATTATTATACCATCATTATAAACTAAGCAGCTAAAGAAAAACGGACACACACACAGAAATCGTATAGGTGCATAGAATATACATATACTTTATTAATATACACGTAACCGGGCCGCCCGTGGGAGTAGAAAACGTTTATTACGCCTGCATATCGCGTAGAAGAGATGTATCCTCATTGTTTATTCATACGTTCCTCTCGACTCTCTCGACAATCCGTTTATTGTTTTATTATTTTAATTCTGGACGATGGCGGCGACGGCGACGGCGACGAGTACGAGTACGTATATATAGAAACAAATAACGAAATGGATTGAACTCCCACGAGACTCCAATTAAAAAAATTAAAAACTAAATACAAAACGATTCGAAAACAGACGTGAGAAAAAGATTTTTTTATTAAGAAACGGCCTTTCAGTTAACTATACTTAACATAATCTTTCTCCCACTACCACCACCGCCAAACACAGACACTCACTTGTAAACGCGGATTTAGGGTCATGCTATTATCAAATTTCAGAAACTCATAAAGCGGGTTCGAAAATACGTTGTTTTGACCTAACATCGTGTGTATGTCTCTCTCAATGATTGTGATCCACTACTGCAGGAGAAGAGAGACAAAATGAGAATGAAAAAGAAAAAATCAGAGACGTCCATCTATATGTACGTATAGTTTCTGGCTACGATTCGTATACCTTATCCCGCAATGCATTGTTGTATTTTCGTATAACATCACACGAGACAAACATCACCGCCTATTCGTGTTCGGCTTTGTTCAGTTACGACGACGGGAGGGATGTATGTATATATATATATTTAGTATAGGGTCTTTAATTGAAATGGCGCAGGTTCGAAAATCCCGTTTGAAA